AGGAGGATCCCACATGCCACGGAGCGGCTGGGCCCGTGAGCCATGGCCGCTGAGCCTGCGCATCCGGAGCCTGTGCTCTGCAATGGGAGAGGCCACAAGAGTGAGAGGCCCGTGTACCGCAAAAAAAAAAAAAAAGAAGGCAGTCACAAAAGGACATGTACGGTATGATTCCACTTACACGAGGAACTTGGAATACTCAAGTTCATAGAGACAGACAGCAGCACGGTGGCTCTCAGGGGCTGGGAGGAGGGGAGGACGGGGCAGCTACGGTGTAACAGGTACCGAGTTTTTGTCTGGGGCGATGAAAAGGGTTCCAGAGACGGATGGTGGTGATGGTTTCACACCCACGTGAATGTCTTTCATGTCACAGAACTATACTCTTGAAAGTGGTTAAAGTGGTAATTTTTCATATTCTTTACCATATAAAGAATTTTTTTAAGGACCTGTCAGCAGCTCTGAGGTTGGGGGTCATTAACTGAGGGATCGTAAAGCAGCACAATGGTGAGTGTGTCTCTAGAACCGCATGGGGGCCCCAGAGCAGGATCTAGAAGTGAAGGAGACCTGAGGCCACCTGGCAGAGCATCGCCCACATATTCACCGTGGTTCCCTCTCCCATGTAACAAAAACGTACCCAAGTACGCTCCTGCTTAAGTTAAATGACGCTGCTAAAAACTCCAAGTCCAGTGGAAGGCAGCGCTGTTCAAAACTCTAATTGGATGCCGTGTTTATCCTGCAGTTAATTATTATCAGAAACTCCTCTCGCCTCTCCCTTCACTGAGGCATAAAATGCTGACTTGGATCCGCAAGGTGGGTGTAAGTGGTTCTTACAAGTCTGAGAAGGGTGATGGCGGGGCTCAGAACGGCCACTCCCACCCCACAGGTCTATCAGGTCACGCTGAACATCACCAAGAACGCATGGAGCGCGCTGACCCCCTGCTCACAAATGACGTCATCTCCAAGATCAAAACAAGCCAACAAGGGCCACCCTTGGGAAACAACGTTTAACCCCTAGGAAATGCCAGTCTTTTTCATATTTCCTCTACGTAAGATGACTCACAATTGGATTTCCATTTCCACAGAGCAAAACGCAAAGAGTTAAAACAACGCAAAAACAGGATCCCGTGATGGGAATTCTTACATTTCAGAAGTCGAGGAAGCACCTACTGTGCAAGAACAAAATACAAAATCAGCAGCAAGGAGGCAACATTTCAAATAAAACTCAGTCATCTGTGCCGCAGATGTAAGGTCTGCACCGGGGCACAAACGTCACTGAACTCACCCGTGTCTCCTAATAAAACACCCACTGAAGGAAGGACTTTCAAGTCTGCAGTTACTAAACGCCTTGACATCCAGGGAGGTGGGCAGACACAAGCCAAGCCCAATCAAATTTAATAATCTAACAGTATATTCAGAAACCAAAAAGGACTTCTGGGCTCAAAACTTCCTGTCATTTGTATCTATTCTTAGACTCCCTGTGTCTGTTTTCCAGAAATGCCAGAGGATTTCGTAGTAAATGTACCAAACACACTGTTAATTTTAACCTCAAAACAATAAGGCAGCTTTAGGCAATAAGTTGCCAAAATAATTAAGCCAAAACTTGAAAACACACGCCACACAGCTTTCTCTGTGGATCTCCAGCTCCACATGAAGACTGAGAAGTGATACTGAGGACGGCACGGCTCTGCCAGACAGCAGCTTCACCTCCGAGATGAAAGGGCCATCGTGACTGTTCACGTTTAGTGACACTGCTCCCCTGGTCGCAACAACCGTGACACACATCTGAGCACACGTACATCTCTGTCCCAGACTTAAAATCTGGGAAATCACTTTCCCACAATATTTTTCATAGCCATAAAGATGTTTCCTGGGAAATGCTACAGTAAAAGAACATTCAAAGAGGAAAGTAAGAACAGAGGCTGCTACAAGGAGCAGCGGAGTGAAAGCTGCAAGTTAATCATTTGGAAGGTTCTTGTCCTTTGAAGGAATTAGCACGGGCAGTGCACACAAATCGCACGGCTTCTTCTGCAGTAAGTCAGCCACACTGAAACTGCCAGACAGGGATGCTGGCAAGTGTGCGGGTCCCGGGCTGCTCCCTGGGCCCGCCCCCCACGCCCCACCTCCTGGCACCTCCACGCCGGCGTGTCCTGAAGACCACACAGACCCCACCTGAGACGCAGGCATCTTTTCTCCCAAAGGACCACAGGGCAAGGACAGATAATAAGGTGGTGAGAACAGAAGGACCACGGGAAGGTTGGATGCCTCGCTCGCTCTTCCAGACTCGCTGGAGGGACCAAGATATATCACTATCAGTGCAGCTCAGCCTGAGGCCTGACGGACGCCTGGGGCACCTACAGCCTCGGCCTCCCACACCTGCTCAGATACTGAGGTGCCCTGACGAGTGACGTGAACACATCATTCTCATCCACTTCCCCATCCTTCCGTAATGGAAACTGAGAACCTCTCCTTGCAGAGAAGCAAAGACCAAGGACAGCATTTAAGAGCCCCTCCAGAGGAAGCAAAAAGAATCCCATTACAGGGACCACGACCATGGTCACCGCAAAGCCGCTCCTGAACCTTCCGCTCAAGTCCAGGCTTCGAAGGACATGCAGACCCTGCTTTTCCCGGCCTGCAGGGAGTCCTGCCTCTAAGAGCGGGGCCCTGAGTGTGGTCGATGCTGCCCCAAGGACCTACCTTCACCCGGACGGTCTGGTCTGACACGCCGCTCATCATGTCGCTGATGGACCGGAACAGCTGCACCAAGGACTCCACGAAATCGGCCTCTCCTTTGTTTTCGTACAGCCTGCAAAGGAACACACAGATCTGTGGGCCTGGCACACGGCACATCACCACTTTCTGCTCCTGCATCTACAGACATTAAAATTGCTGTGAGGGAACATCCTCGATATCCATGGAACATGGGAGCTGACTTGGATTATAATCTGGACCCTCAGCTAGGGAGATACACCTTCACGCTGAGGAAGCTGGTTTTATTCATTCTATTTATTGCCTTTTGGCTTGTAACATAACACATTCTACAAAGCTGAAAAACGCAGAAATGCATAAAAAGGGAGGGAAGGAGGGAGAGCGTAAGGAAGGGAGAGAGGAAGGAAGGATGGAGAAATCCAGCTTTAATTCTACCCCGCAGAGATCACATCATTAATATTTCAGTGTATATCCTGCCAGTGTTTCTTAAACCCATAATGTCACATAATCGACAATCACAAAGATAACTAAGTTTAACATGATCTTAGAACCTTTTGAAAATGACACTATAATAATAAACTCAAAATTACTTGATTTCAGAGTAATGACACTATACAAATTCTTCCGTCACAGAATTGGTGGTTCCGGGAAAACATTCAAAAAGTGGATCATATTCAGTAAATGGATAATAAGGAAGTGGTACACTGGTTACATGTATGCAAACACGTGCTGCTAATTGTAAATAAGTTTTGTCTATAAATTATTTATTAGCAGTTACTTCAAGCTGCTGTGTTACTAACAAGCAATACATTTGCATTTTAAAATGATGCAGCGCACATGTTTTATTAATACAGACTAGTTTTCTGCCTAATTAAAAGTATACCATACCTGAAAACTTGTGTACAATGGAAAATTTTGTAAACTAAGTGATAATTAATTACCCTAGAAGTAATCTTAAATGAGTTCCATTGTAAAGCAACAAATTCTGTCTAAAATGGGACATTGCAACCTAGTGTATCTGTTTTGTAAAGGGTTTTCAAATAGGGGTTTGTATAAACAGTGTGTCAAACAATGACAGTTATGAAGTCATGAACTTCTGCTTGCAGGTGAAAAGGAGCAAGGTTTGGCAGACTGGCGCAGATACTTGGGGAGGCTTCTAGCACGTACTCATCCATTCTCCCCCATTCCCCCCCACCCCGCTCCCAGTATATCTGCCAATTCCTAAGGCTCCAGGGCGCAGGGGACTGAAAACCAAAATGAAAACATCTATAAAGCAGAGTGGAGTGTTTATCTGTCTCCAGAGATAAAGAATACAGTCTGAAAAATGTCAGGGAGAGGGGCTCCAGATAACACAGCAGACTCTCAGTTGAAAACCCTGGGCAACCAGAGGAAAACCATATAAGACTGAGGCTCACAAAGGCTACATACAGCCTCTGTAGTGTAAAGGTTCAGTCTCACTCTCTCTGCCTAGAAAAGAAAAGGATGAATCATCTCTTGAAGAAGATCACATCATCTGGAGCTTTGAAGGTTTTATATATTCACAGTCCTGTATTCAAACAAAGTTATTAAACACAGCAGAATACCAGACCACATGTGGCCCAATCAAAAAAGGGACGACAGAAACAGACCCACAAGTGATCAAGATACTGTAGTCAGCAAGCAGTTGCATCCTGTATCAAGACTGTCAAAATAAATGTATTATATTGTAAAACAAAAAGAAAAAGATGGAAAAAATAGAAAACTGGAAATATGAAAATAGAGAGATGAAGAAAACAGAAGGTAAGATAAAAAATTCTAAAGATAAAAAATTCTGTATAAAAAAAAGATGAAAATTCTAAAACAAAAATATAATATCTAAAATTAAGAATTCAGGGACTGCCCTGGTGGCACAGTGGTTAAGAATCCACCTGCCAATGCAGGGGACATGGGTTTGATCCCTGGTCCAGGAAGATCCCACATGCCACGGAGCAACTAAGCCCATGTGTCACAACTAATAAAGCCCACACACCTAGAGCCCATGCTCTGCAACAAGAGAAGCCACCACAACGAGAACCCTGCACACTGCAACGAAGAGTAGCTCTCACTCGCTGCAATTAGAGAAAAGCCCACACACAGCAACGAAGACCCAACGAAGCCAAAAGAAAAAGTTTTTTTTAAATGATAAAATAAAATTAAGAATTCACTATATGGGTTAACTTGAGATTAGACACAGTTAAAGACAGAGTCAGTGAAATGGAAGACAATTAACAGGAAAATAAACAGAAGAGACAGAAAATATAGAAAAGTGTGCTAGAGATATGCAGGACACAATAAAGAGATCTAACATACATGTAATTGAAGTTACAGAAGAAAATGAGAGCTACAGTGTGACAAATGCAACATTAGGATAGATAATGGCCATGAATTTGCCAAAACTAATAGAGAATCAATCCAAAATTCAAGAAGCAGGCTTCCCTGGTGGCGCAGTGGTTAAGAATCTGCCTGCCAATGCAGGGGACACGGGTTCAGTCCCGCGTCTGGGAAGATCCCACAGCCGGCGGAGCAACTAAGCCTGTGCGCCACAACTACTGAGCCTGCGCTCTAGAGCCCGAGAACCACAACTACTGAGCCCACATGCCACAACTACTGAAGCCCGCACACCTAGAGCCCATGCTCCGCAACAAGAGAAGCCACCACAATGAGAAGCCCGTGCACCACAACGAAGAACAGCCCCCGCTCGCCACAACTAGAGAAAGCCCGTGCGCAACAACAAAGACCCAAAGCAGCCCAAAATAATTAATTAATTAATTTTGAAAAATTCAAGAAGCTCTCAAAATCCAATGTAGGATAAACAAAAGGCTAACCATTCCTATGTAATCCATAGTAAAACTGCTAATAACCACAGAAAAAGAGAAAAATTGTAAACACAGGTAGAGAAAAAATTTTAAAGACACCTTTACCTTCAAAGATGTAACAGTAAGTCTGAAAGCTGACTTCTCACCAGAAATGATGGAAATCAAAAGAGAAAAGAAAAACATCTGGAAGAAGAAAATAACTGCCAATCTGGAATTCTATATTAAAAGAAAACACCCTTCAAAAACAAAGATAAAGTCAACGATTCTCATACAAACAAAACCTGCAGCAGACTTATACCCAAAGAAATTCTACATGAAGTTCTTTGCACCGAAGGAAAATTATCCTATAGAGAAACATAAAATTAAAAGAAAGATGGAGGGTTTCCCCGGTGGCGCAGTGGTTGAGAGTCCGCCTGCCGATGCAGGGGACGCGGGTTCGTGGCCCGGTCCGGGAAGATCCCACATGCCGCAGAGTGGCTGGGCCCGTGAGCCATGGCTGCTGAGCCTGCACGTCCGGAGCCTGTGCTCCGCAACGGGAGAGGCCACAGCAGTGAGAGGCCCACGTACCACAAAAAAAAAAAAAAAAAGAAAGAAAGATGGAAAAACAGTAATATAAAACATGCTGAATGAATACCAACTATAAAAATAATAACAGTAATGCCTTAAAATATACGTAGACTTGAAATGCATGACAATAGTAACACAAAAAAGAGAGAAAATGGGATAAAAAAAAGAAAATTTTGATTGATACAAAAGAAGGCCAAAAAAAGCAGGAAAAGGAAACATAATACAGATGGGTAAAAGAGAAAATTGATAGAAAGACAGCAGGTATAAACTTTATATATTACTTAATTGAATTATTTATAAATGAACTAAATACTCAACTTTACAACTTACGATCAATGACTAATTATTCAAGAAGCTAACAGCAGGTAACAGGCAAACACTCAACAAAGCAACAGAAAGACAGAAGAGGAACTGGGCAATAACTAGCTTTAGCGACTGGAGTCAGAAGGTCTGGCGCAGGATGCGACTGTTTTCTGGCTTTCCAGTTAATGTGATCCACCCACTCAGAAAACACAGACAAACAAAACCAGTGGAGAAGTGCCCCTGGCTGTCAGGAATCTTTTGGTGGGTTCCCCAGGAACCAAATATCTTTGGACCAGAGTTTTAAAACTCCTGTTCTCATTTCAAAGCAAAATGAGCTTTCTAAACAAAACAAAAAGCATGGATTTGCATAGTGAGAAAGAGAGTGGAGTAACAACCGTAAGTTTCAATACCTTCTTCTCCAAAGTTTCGCCCCTTCCTTCTTTGGAAGGATTACTGTCAGCTATCGTGGCATTTCACAAAGCTACTACATTATGTGAAAACACACTACACCAGTCTGAAAGAAGAAGAAAAATAAAAGACCTCAAACGTTTATTCCAACTGCAAAAAGAAAAACACAGTTGTCAATTCCAGCTCTGAGCACAACTGTTTTTCTCCCAAGGTAATAGATGTGTTGCAGGTAAGAAAATGAGAACCCGAGTGTGATTTCTTCCCCACCTCAAAAAAACCATGCATCAGAGCTGCTTACGAATCAAACATCCCAGACATCTGTGAAGGACACAGGATGGCTTTTTCCTTCAGCAGACTATACAAGATAGGAACAGTGTTTCATCTCAATGCCTTTGATAAGACAGATGAAGAACTACTAAAATGGGCCCTGGGCAGTTTGAGGACAAGACGCGACTAAGAGACTTTAGCCCTGTTGCCCATGACTTTAAGGTTATGACTTTTTTTCCTATCATAGATTCTTCTCAGCAATCTCAGACTAAAGATTTAAATTTAACAAGTACTGTATCTGGGGCTTCCCGGGTGGCGCAGTGGTTGAGAGTCCGCCTGCCGATGCAGGGGACGCGGGTTCGTGGCCCGGTCTGGGAAGATCCCACATGCCGCGGAGCGGCTGGGCCCGTGCGCCATGGCCACTGAACCTGCGCGTCCGGAGCCTGTGCTTCGCAACGGGAGAGGCCACAACAGTGAGAGGCCCGCGTACCGCAAAAATAATAATAATAAGATAAAACACAGGAAAACAAAACCTCGTTTACTTGGTCATCTTTCATACCGTGACAGTGAGAAAATCATCAACAGCTTTGACCTTGAAGAGAAGAAAATGCTTCGACCCACATCAAGAGTCACCCTTATCCACAATAAGAAAAATAGAAGAGTGTGCCTTTGATATCTCAGTCAAGGATAAGAGCACGATGGCCTCAAACCGTGGGTCTTAGATCACGGAATGTTAGAGCGAACAAAGCACAAACAATCCTTGACCAGTAACACAGGGGCCGTGACCACTGATTAATGGTGGGTACTACCCCGTCTGTGGCTCTTTTTTCTTTTTTAAAGATTTTTTTTTGATGTGGACCATTTTTAAAGGCTTTATTGAATTTGTTACAATATTGCTTCTCTGTTACGTTTTTTGGTTTTTTGGCCTTGAGGCATATGGGATCTTAGCTCTGCAACCAGGGATCGAACCCACACCCCCTGCACTGGAAGGCAAAGTCTTAACCACTGGACCGCCAGGGAAGTCCCTCCCATCTGCGACTCTTACAGTTGTACACACAGTCAGTTAACTGGCTCCTTTGGCTTACATGTACCATGGTGTGCACAGGCTGGATTTTGAATACCTCCCCTTTCTCCCCAGCCCTTCTGGAGAAGCTGACTTCAGGCCAACAAAGATAAAGAGGCAATAAGGAGGGACCAATCTGCGTCCACACTCGCTCCATCTCGAAGGATTCACTGATACGTTTCGAGAGGGCTGTGCTTTTAGAAGTCACATGTATTCTCTAACTCAGAGGGACACTGATTCTTAAACTCCGTCTCTGTGTTTAGAACTCACCACAAGAACATCAACCTCCAATAACCAGCAGCAACCAACATCATCCACTGTAGGTCACCCAGAGCAGCTACAGCTCCAAAAGCAGGAGCAGAGGGAGTCAACTTCAACACCCCAACACCCCATCTACCCATTTCACACCTCTTCATTCATACAGTTAAATACTGCGAACCAACTGAAAGCTCATTTATTTTAGCACATCTCTTTCATCTAAAGATATATAGGAAGAAAATACTAATGTTCTCTATAAAATAACGAAGTCATTATTTTAAAGTGGATTGGGATATTCCCAATCCACTTTAAAGTTCAAACACAACTCATAAGTTCACCTACATAGTGTATGAAACACATCACTAGGTTAAAACACTGAGCGTCCATTTGCACGGCAATCTTGTATGTGGGAATCTCTCTCTAGGAACAAAACATGATTCTAGTTGACGGAAAGAGGGAGGAAGCCCCCAGTCTTCCCAAGTGAGGTAGTTTAACTTGGTTTTGGCTTTTTGCTGTTGTTGCTTGTTTGTTTTAATTTTGTTTTTCAAGGGCTTTTTTCTCTATAAGATGTACTGAAAAGAACTTCAGAACCCTTGGTGTTCAGTCTGCACTACCTCTGAATCAATGCTTTCAGGAGACGATGTTGGACTCATAGGCACACATTTCAGACTCAGGGCTCAAGACTCAAACTCATGCTTGCCTTTCACTACATGTGGGAGCAGATACAGTGCGTGTGGGCAAACCCAGCCCAGGACTGTTATCTGTTACTGCTGTGTCATGCTCGACAGCAGGCAAAGGAAGGAGAAAGACGGGAGGAAGGGGAAGAAGCAAGAGGAAGGGGGATGGAGAAGGAAAAGGAAGGAAGGAAAGGATTTCCTGTAAGTCCACCGGAGAGCCAGCACGGTGATACGCACTGATTGAACAGGATCCGGGAGCGCACGATGAACTTGAAGATGTACTCTAAAGCTTTCATGGCTTTATACAGCTGGTCGCTGATTCCTGGCCTCTCGGCATTGTCCACATAGTTCCTTAAAACTTTCGTCAGCTTCCTGTTCATAATGGAAACACAAGTTAACAAGTCCAGAAGATTACAATATCTCAGTTCTTAACTGGGACAAAAATACACAAGTGGGTTCTTTTTATTTGGGTACACGCTTATCAGTATATGCATATTTGTGAAATGTATCTCAAGCAGACTGAAAGCGACCCATATAATAACTCTCAGAGGAGCGAGATCTGAGCATTTAACAAGAACTTTCTAAGTTTTAGATGTTTTTGTAAGCATTTAAATGTATTATATAATTTATTCTTCACAGCAACACTATAAGGCAAGTGATGAGTTTTATCCCTAATTTACAGATGGAGAAGCCCAGGAGTAGGTAGGTAAACTAGCTTTCCCAATGCTAAATAACAAAAATCAAAGGGATTTCTACAGACATATCTATTTTCATAATGCTCATTTTTTTTATTGAGCATATGGTATTTTCAAATGATAGAGGCAGTAATGGTAATCATCAGTTTTTGATTCTGTCCAAACGTCTATATTTTCTACCACTACCGGCCCATAAACTAATAGTCACTGTTCACAAGGATGACCCTCAAGCTATGCTTTCTAAATCGTAAGAGAAGAATTAAATTAACTGCAGTATACTGTCAGCTTTTAGTGTACTGGGCTACACTGTAACTCTCCAAAAACTAGCAGCATACGTAAAACCTGTATGACAACAACCACCAAGACTACTCCCTAAAGCAAACTTCTCCACTCCCCAACTTTTTATGTAATCAACAGAACTTCCCTGTAGCTTTTAAATATTCATCAGAGTCATAAAAATAACCTGTCAGGGCATTCACAGCATTTCCCGTTAAGCTGTGAGCCAGCATGCACTAGCTTGTTATTCGAGATTATTACAAGACACTCATAAGAGCAACTGTAACTTGGATTCTGGATGACCTCGGAACGGTTCTAAGAGTAACAATTCTACTGATAAATCACAATAAAAAGGCTTTTGGGTGACTGAGTGGATACAAAGTCATTTCTAACACTGATCAGGCTGCAGAACTCAAGAAATGAGAGACTACCATAGAAGCCTTCCTGCCAGTATGTCCTGAGGAAGGGAAGCCAGAGAGATCCCCCTCCCACAGGCTCCCCTGGCCCCGACGTCGGGAAAGGTATTGTCCCATACATGCCTCCTGATGGTTCCTGAGGCACAGCAGAACATCTCAAGTCCTGGCAGAAAACCTGTTTCACTCGGTTTAACTTATTTTCCCAAACTGAGTGGACCACACACACCTTTTACTCTTAGACCTTATTAATATCCCAAGAAATATACATTCCATAGAAATACATTTTGGAAATCCTTCCAATAGATTAATCAAAGAAAAGAATAAAAAGAAGGAATGATTTGCAAAGGGAATGACCCAGAACCAGAAAATAAATCTGGAAGTCAAAAGACCCGAATCCACGCGAGCCACGCCACTTGTAACTGCAGAAAGACCAAATTCCTCGGCACCAGCTCAGAGGGGCAGACCAAACGGCACATCGATTCAGTGGGAGGAAGGTGTGACCCAGCTCTGGGCAAGGCAGCTCTGTGGACAGAAGGAGCCTGTCCTGCTGGTCTTCTGGAAGAACCGTCCCCGAAGCTGACACCTCCCTCCCTCCTCGCTTGGACCAGAGCCGGTCACTCTGATCCGTTAACTGCCCAGGCAGGGGAGCTCCTGCTTTGCGAGAGTCGGAGGGCTAAGAAGTAATGCCCATCGCCTCCAGTCATCTTTAATTTCTTCTCTTGGAGTTCTTTGCAAAGAAAGGCTACAGATCTCAACATTTATCAAAGGAAAGACATAAAGAAACTACCTGGACCAGACTCTAGCCTAACCAAGGCTCCTAGAAGAGGCGGAGGAGAGACTGGCTGTGACGACACTTAGAACCCAAATGTCCCCTGGGCCGGAGAAGGCTGCAAGTACTTCATTAGTGCAGACACAACCTTCCGTGATTGGTTAGAACTGCGTGAACCACAATTATCTCCTCTGGTATTTCAAGGCAAAAATACTCAGATTCCAATGGCTGAAGAACCACTTGGGGTTGCTAGTTTACCAAAACATGACAAGAATACTTATTTTCCGAAATTAAAATTTACTTTTTGGCAGAGGACAGACTGAATGAGAGGATACCGATTCTCAACTCCGTCCCATCCTAACTTAACAATAAAATGGTACTTTTTGTGTCTCCCACTGAGTAACTTGCCCAAAGCTCCCCAATGTTCGTTTTCCACCTTTGAGAATAAGGGCACCGTTCTCCCCAAAGTCACAGGCAGGGGGACGCCAGCTAGGCGACCTGGAATGCAGCACGGTAACCTTACCACTGTTCCGATTTTCTGAAATGAAAGTGCAAGATCTGATCTGAGCAAAGCTGTTTGGCCCCCTTCCAATAAAGAAGGAGAATGGTGAAAGTGACACATATGGAGGTCACATGGCACCCAGAGCAGCAAGGAGGCCACGCCCATAAACCCCGGGCTCCCTCTGGTTGCTATAGTGGGATGGTGTCACATGATCAGCCCTCCCACGGTCTGCAGGGAACTGTCCAAAGTGTGACAAACTGGGCTTCTCCACGGAGAGTACAGAATGTTTTAAACAAAGGCTTCTTAGTCAGCAAGCACAAAGCTGGTCACAGCTTTTGCCCTGTGTGGTGAGGACTCGCTGCTCCCCGCCCACTGGGGGCTCCACCCACTGCCCTGCAATAAACATGCACTCAAGCCAACACGGAAGAACCCAAGAATCAGGGACAGAGCTGCTGACCTTGAGTCCCACAGCCAAGGACAACAGGTTCTGACCTAAGTATGGTCAAGACACAGATGGGAGCTCTGACTCAACTTCCTGGCCCTAACAGAGAATCATTTCGAATGATTCTAAGTTGAATGTTCTTAAAGAAATTAAACCTTTCTTTTTCACTGCAACTCACACAAGAAAAAGTCTGAATAAATGCCAATAAATCCCATTGTGAGAGAATGAGGAACTCGCCCTAATAATTCTAATAATAACAAAACCTAACTACTGCTTGGTGCTTTCTGAGTGGCAGGGATTATTCCAAATACTTGACATGTAATAACTCATTAAAATTCTCAAGAAAACCTACAACCGTGCTGTTGCACAGATGAGAAGGCTGAAGCTCACAGAGTTTAAGCAACTTAAGCTTGAAAGTGACAGAGTGGTAACATAAGCCCAGGTGGCCAGGTCCCAGGGCTGTGGCATCAACACCAGGCTTCACACTTTCCCCTTGGTGTCTAGTAGACCCAACAGGGGCCCATGTGGGGATGTAGGGCAGGTGGAGAGCAGCTGGGTGAGTGGTAAGAATCCTAGTTAGTTAGAGCCGAAGCTTCTGGAACAAAAGGAAAGGCACTCTTTAAAAGGCAAAAAGAATCTGGAAACAATATATATGTGCATATATATATTACAAACACACATATTTATATATGTATAAGTGAATCACTTGGCTGTATACCTCAAACTAACACAACGTTGTAAATCAACTAGACTTCAATAAAAAAATTAAATTTAAAGAAAAAATTAAAAAAGAAAGAGATGCAAGAGTATTAAAAGCCAATATCCAGATGAAGTCTAGAAACAACCGTCAAACCCACAGATGTTTTATCTGGACAACATTAACATTCTGGCTCTCTGAACATCACTAACCAACCAATTTAAAAGAAAAAATCATTTTTTTTAGATCCTTTTTTTGTTTTTGACCGTGCTGTGTGGCTTGCGGGATCTTAGTTCCCCAACCAGGGATCGAACTCGGGCCATGGCAGTGAAAACACCGAGTCCTAACCACTGGACTGCCAGGGAGTTCCCGAAAAAAACAATTTTATCCAGCTTTGTCCAGCAGAACAAAAATAAACAAATCACCTGCGACCTTAAAAATGGTAATAAATAAATAAAGAGCAAAAAGATAGACTGAAAAGTACAAAACTGAATTTTATTCATACTAAATAACCAATAACCTCAATACAGGACCACAACCATTTATTCATTCATCAAACAGTCATCAGGAAGCTGCAGTGCGGCGGGCACTCTGCATTCATGTATCTGTTTCATCAAACACAAACTGAACATTTCAAAGACAAACAAAAGGTGTGGAGAAGAACAAGAACTTATTCCGGAATCTTATAATATATCACCTATCTCTTTCAACAAGATTTTTAGGTCTGTTAAGAGAGAAACAATAATAAAAATGATCCCAGTAAATTCACAGTTGGGGAAGGGAAATGTAGAATCACAGGCAAAAGTATATGGAAAAGACTCTTACAAAAATATACAAAAAGAAGTACTGGTTTTAAAACAACAAAACAGAACTTACGTGTAGGCTAATGTTGCACTAAAGTGTTTCTTAATGTAGGTTTCCAAAACAGGATTAAAATGCTGAAATTTTCTATCGGCAATTAGTCCAATGATAAATACCTGTTAAATTAATATTTTCATTAGCAAAAGAAATGCAAACCATTTTAGAATCTTCAGCTGAATCACCTGCACTTCTGTGTGAGTCAACGAGCTATAACACTTTCGGACACAGGTTGGTCAGCTACTTTACTTCTTCCCCTACAATTTACATTTGCCTAACTACAGTGTTACAGTGGAAGAAACTTTCTACCTCTCAATTCATCTGCTTTGATTGGGTTTACAACCGAAAGCGCTTTCAGGGTTACTGTGATGGATCCCGCCCCAGCTTCAAAGGCTGCAACCTGAAAGCGTCCCGTAATATCTGAGCAGATGCAAAGTCGAGGCCTCTTACCAGAGCATCAAACACTAATGTATCAAAGGTCTCGCTCTCCGAATTCTCCATCATGATGTTGAAGAGTGCATCCAAGGTGTCCTGGAGGAACTAGAGAGACACAAAAGGTCAGCAGACGAGGTAAATCCACCCCACTCTCCCCAGCCTAGAAAAACTATCATCCTTGGCAATACTGCAAACACCCACCTTTCTCAAATGGCACCTACCAAGCTACAGACTTTGGGGATTTTTATCAGTCATTAGACTCACAAGACAAAAATCTGAGATGAGTGAATTCAGAACAAAGACAGGCCACCCTGAGTCAAGCAGAGGATGGGAAGCGGGGAGATGCCCTATAGCCCACCGCCTACCCACCCATGAGACCTCTCCAACACTTGTCCTGACTTTCATCAGGACAAAAAGCTCAACAGCAACCCTGGGAAGTCCGAATCTGACTCATTCTGTACACACTTGAGCGTGGGACCTGAGCTAGCAACTGGGCAGAAGCCATACAGGGACAAATTTCTAGTATAATAAAGGATCTTCTGCAGACACAGATGGCCAAGGACAGAAGAGGTGTGTGATTCTGAAACTGGGGTACAGAGCAGAGAGCCATGAGCTTAATTTATTCAACAGTAATTGAGAAATTCCTTTTATGCCTACTATAATTCACCAAAGAAATATTACAGCATAGAATGACAAAACACTATGAATTTAATTTAGAAAAAATTAGGAGACTTCAAAGTTATGTCACACTAGAACCTGGCTTTGAACCCTGACCCCATTCTCCCCTGAAAGAAGTATGAGATGAACTAAAAAAGACTACATTGGAAGTAATGAGTTCCCTGTTGATGGGGTAGTTCAAGACTAGGCAGAATGACACACAATGGACTACTGACCGTAAGAGGGAATGAAGTATGGCTATATCATCATTAGTCACTGGGATTAGTACATCGAAATCACAATGAGATATCACTTCACCCAGACTGAGGTGACTGTCATCAAAACGATGTACAATAGTTAAGTGTGGGGAAGGACGGAGAGAAATTAGAGCCCTTATACGGTGCTGGTAGAAATGTAAAATGACGCACTGGCTTTGGAAAACAGACTGACAATCCCTCAATGGGTTAAATGTACATTTACCACGTAACACAAACATTTCATTCCTGGGTATGTAACCCAAAGAATGGAAAACATACATCCACACAAAAACCTGTACGAAAATATGCATAGCAGCTTTATTCATCATTGTCAAAATGTGTCCATCTGCTGACGAATGCATAAAAAAAACTGTGGCATATCCATACAATGCAATATTTATTATTCAGCCATAGAAAGGAATGAAGTTCTGATACATGCCACCACATGCCTTGAAAGCATTACACTAAAGAAAGCCAATCAAAAAAGGTCATATATTGTCTGATTCAATTTACATAAAATATCCAGATAGTCAAATCCATAGAGAAAGCCGGTTGCAGGGAGAGTGGAAGTGATGGCCAACGGGTGTGGGGTTTCTTTTTGCAGTGGTGGAACGGTTCTGAAGTGAGACAGTGTGGACAGCTGCGCAATTCTGCGAATACACTGAAAACCACTGAACTGTACAAACGAAAAGGTGCTTTCAGGTATGTGAATTACATCTCAATCAAGTGGTTATTAAAAACAAAAGGAGTAAGTGAGACGGGCCCACAGCCGGGACAAAGGTGTAACTGAGTGAGATCCCTAGACCAGATCTTCCTGGGCGGCTCAGCCCATGCACAGAACCTCAGGGGCCTTCACGTCTCCAGCAGAGGACCTCAAACGGTTCGACCCGCAGACACAGAAACTAAACACAGAGACCTGCTCCCCAACCACTGCTCGCTCCCCACCCCCCGTGAGCCGTGGAGCCTTGCAAATCCAGCACCCCACAGCTCTTCTTCCTGAGGGAGGACGTGTTCCCGGACCTAGGAAGTGATCTGAGACGCGTCAGGCATAAAATCCTCATTCTATTCCACTGTGCCACCTACCACCTAGTCTGTGCCAAGAACTGTCACATATAAATGACACGGGAATGAAACCAGCCGGACCAGGAGGCATTCTGGTCTGGACATCAAGGGCTCCGTCCACTCCGTAATTGTTTAAGCCTGCACCACCTCTCGTTACTTTTGTATCATTTCCCATCATTTCAGATTGTAAAAGCTTTGCAAAGGTCAAAACTTGACGCTGGGGCTTCCCTGGTGGCGCAGTGGTTGAGAGTCCGCCTGCCGGACGGGTTCATGCCCTGGTCCGGGAGGATCCCACACGCCACGGAGCGGCTGGGCCCGTGAGCCATGGCCGCTGAGCCTGCGCGTCCGGAGCCTGTGCTCCGCAACGGGAGAGGCCACAACAGTGAGAGGCCCGCGTACCGCAAAGAAAAAAAAAACTTGACGTTGCCATCTGCTAACAGCCCAGTGTTACTGCCAACAGACACACCAGTGTCCAGTGCCAAGCCCTGGCTTGTCACAGTTCAGGGAAAGAGGTCTACCAGCCCCACCCAGACAAATGACACAGAAACAGGACAGCAGACAGCGGGGACCTTGTGTATCTGGCCGTAGAGCCGCAGCAGTGCAGGGACACGAATGTCCTGAAGGCGATCCCTCACACAAGGCCACGAAAGACTTCTTTTGACACCCACCCTCTCTCCAAGACCATCCACTGGAAGAGCACAATCACCATTTTCATTTCCCACTAAAATGGGAAACTATACTTTTTACTAAATGAGCAAATACTTTTCTCAAGCAATGTCACTTTTACTAAAACAAGCAAATACTTTGCTCAGTCTATCAAGCAATGTCATCTTTCCACTAAAAGTTATAAAGACACAGAAGGGAGGTCTCGAATAAATGGAATAAAACCCACAATCGATCAGTGTCCTTCAACAGAATGAAAGCAGCCCCATGCAGGCTGCGATTCCCTCTGCTCCTGGCTCTGTTAGCAGCCTGGTGGCCTTAGACGAGTCTATTCCCTGCTCCAGGCCTACAGGGTATTAGGATACACTGTCAATGGGAAGGAATAAACAGGCAAAACAAGTAAGGGCCGGACAGGTCATCCAACCCTGGGCGGTACCACAGTGAACACAGGAAGGAGAGGGAGAGAGGTGAGAAGAACAGGGACGAACTCCAGGGACGAACAACAGGATGTGATAATAGATTAGATAAGAGGAACTGAGGGGGGGCAATAAAACCAGACGGTTCTAGAACTTCCCTGGTCAGTGTGTCAATAGTTCAACATAAATACAATTCCTGATGTGATACAGGGACCGAAAAATGAAAGAGGACACAATTTCATTAACTGTGGGTCTTTTAAAGTGATGTTAACTTAATTCACCCAGTTTTCATCTGAATTAGGGAATTCATAGAACCCAGGGAAGTTTAAAATGCAGTTAACATTGTCCAAGCCAGTAGAAGAAGACAAGGGCCAGGAAAAGGTGATTAAAATTTGAAGATTAGTGAGGATATGTTTGAACGGTTATACAATGAATTTAGGAGAGCGGTGCCAGCAAATTAATTTCTACTGAAGTTAACCTCACTGCTGTTTAATTTAAGGCCATTTTAAGTAATTAATTTTCACAGAGATAAGGTCGTCTCCCTCCGCAAGCACCTCTCACGGAGGATAAAGAACTGAGGCAGCAACACGGACCTGGCCGTGGGGACCTTGCTCTCGGGCAGCCACGAGTGGTGGCCCGGCTTGTTGCACGCCAGCCAAGGTGGAGCCCAGTGGCCACAGAAATGCATTTCCTTACATACAAGGAGAAGTCACTGGGCACAGGAGTGGCAAGGAGAGCCTTTTACTGAAGAAAATATTGGAACCACCAACGATTACCAAATCTGAGCGCTCAAAGGGACCTCCGATCACTCTAGTCTGACTGTCCTATCGTAGATGAAGATTCAAGGGCACTGCTCCAGGGCCTGCTCTGTGTGAGGCTAAGCAATCAATCCAAGACCACATGGGAGGAAAACGGCCAAGACAAGACTGAGTGCTGTGATCTTTCTGACACACCACGAAGCTCTCCACATCAATGACACGGCTCCTAGGTGAGTCGAGAGCCAGGGTTAACGATCACGGGGATGGTCATGACAGCGATAGTGATAAATCCCAATACTACCAGACCACCTCCCAGGGGCCAGTACCTCATTTAACCTCCACAGGGACGCTGTGAACAAGGCACTCTGGTTATGTCCATTTTACAGCAGGGGAAAGCAAGGTTTAAAGATGTTATTGAACCTGTGTCAGCCCCACAGTGAGGACCCACTGGAAGAGGAAGCAGAACCCTAGACTTGGTTGATTCCAAAGCCTGTTGCCACCACAGTGAAGCCAGCCCGCGGTCCCCGGACCAGAGTCTAAGAAGGATTCTGTTGCCTTAGAGGTATGTGTCAACATCCCGGAGACACTAGTTGTTGAAAGGCTTACGACCAGGTGGACCTCGTTTTATTGCACTTGTCAGATATTGTGGTTTTTACCCATCAAAGACTTGTGGCAACCCTGGGTCCAGCACGTCTCTTGGAGCCATTTTTCCAACAGCATTTGCTTACTTTGTGCCTTTGTGTCACATTTGGATAATTCTTGCAATATTTCCAACTTCATTAATATTACGTTTGTGATGGCGATCTGCAATCAGTGATCTTTGATGTGACTGTTGATTATCACTCACTGAAGGCTCAGGTGACGGTTTAGCATTTTTTAGCAATACAGTTATTTTTTAATTGGTTTTTTTAATGGACATGGTTTTTTAATTTTGAGGGTTTTTTGTTTCTTTTGTTTAAACTTTTTTCTTTTTTTGTTTTTTTCCACTCACTGCAAGGCATGTGGGACCTTGGTTCCCCAACCAGAACCCGTGCCCCCTGCAATGGAAGTGCAAAGTCCTAATCACTGGGCCGCCAGGGAATTCCCTTGTTTGTTTGTTTTTAATTGAAGTATAGCTGATTTACAATGTTGTGTTAGTTTCAGGTGTATGGCAAACTGATTCAGTTGTACGTATATATATATATATCTCTATTCTTTTTCAGATTCTTTTCTTTTTTTTTTAATTGTGAATAATATTTTATTTAGTCATTTTTGTTTACAACTAAAACTCTTGCAAGGAATTTGAGGACATCCTCCTCCGACACTTGCAGGACATGAAGGGCTCTGGACATTGTGAAAGTTTCCCTTTAAGTTACGATGGGAACCCAGAACGATGCGGTAGGGGCCCCTGTCGGGGGTCTAGCTCAGAAAGCCAGATCCTCCTCCATTATAGGTTATGGCAAGATATTGAGTGTGGTCCCCTGTGCTATGCAGTAGGTCCTTGTTGGCTGTCTATTGTATATCGTACTTATTTTTTTTCACGTGATGCTACTGTACGCTCAGCACACTACAGTAGAGTGTAAATGTAACTTTGATACTCACTGGGGAACCAAACAGTTCGTGTGACTTGCTTTCCTGTGGTGGTCTGGAACCGAACCCGCAGTGTCTCGGAGGCGTGCCTGTACCATCTTGGGAGGCGGAGCCCACACCTCTTCATATCCGTAAGGACAACAAGACAACCAGAACCAGCACGGGAGCCACGTTACCTTCACCACTTCGCCGCCATCCACCTTCATCAGCTGTCTCAGGTTCTGGTGCAGCAGGCTGGTGTTGGATCGCCACTTCAGCAGCCCCAGCAGGTCCACTGGAAACGGGAAACGGACATCAGCTCCTCACAGCAAGGACTCTGTCCCCCTCGTTCACCCATAATGTGAGGTCCTCTAAATAATTTTTTGAACAGATGAACCAAGCCTATTTGGAAACGTTCGCCACGTAAATATTTCATTACTTTCTAGCAACATCCTTGACACCCAGTGTGACTGGATGCGTTATTTCCAACTACGTTTACCACGAAATGATTTCCACGTGGAAGCTTTCAAAAGGCATCTGGGGAGGGCTTCCCTGGTGGCGCAGTGGTTGAGAGTCCGCGTGCCGATGCAGGGGACGCGGGTTCGTGCCCCGGTCCGGGAGGATCCCACATGCCGCGGAGCAGCTGGGTCCGTGAGCCATGGCCGCTGAGCCTGCGCTCCGCAACGGGAGAGGCCACAACAGTGAGAGGCCCGCGTACCGCCAGTAAAAAAAAAAAAAAAAAAAAAAAAGGCATCTGGGGAGCCTACGGAAGAGGGACCGGCCTCTCGAACCCACAAGAAGGCAGATCAGAGCACGGAAGAGGGACCGGCCTTTCCAACCCACAAGTAGGCAGATGAGAAGAGCAGCAGGCCTGCGAGGCCGCTGGCCATTCACTGCTGTCCTGGCAGCTCCTGCCAAGGGGTTTTCTCCTGTTCAAGAATAAGATTCTTAGGTTTTTAAGATAAAATAATATAAAATAAATAACCAACATAAATTCCAGTACTGAGAATGCAAGGGGACAGTCCCCAAAGGAGACAGGAACCCTGGCCCTGGAGACCACTGCTGCACTGAGCTTGCCACCTTTACCAAGTCCTGGCCCTTCCAAAAGTTTCTGTATGTTTCTTTTCTAATAGAAAAATCGCAAGTTGAACGTATTGGTTTTTGCAGACTAAACGTGGAAGACAATGTTGAGAAATGATTTTGTTTAGGGCATGAAAACAGAATCCAAAACATCTCTGGGAAAGGACGTCTTCATCTGAAGTCATATTAATATCCCATTACGTGAAAAAACACAGTTAGCAAAGCACATCTAATTTACTGTTTATGCTCATCGGGAATGAACTTCTGCTACAGAAACTGTCTGCATAAAAAGAAACCCTAGTTAATACTGAAAAAATATATATAATTTTGGCAATAGGTAGAATTTCAGTGAACACAAGACACCAGTTATAATTCATGGATCAAACCACAAAGAAGGCATACAGGGGATGAGCACCAAACACACATTCTCATTTATATCACCTTACCCCCAAGTACAGCTGATGAAGGGAAGAGTTACAAACAGGAAAATGTGAAGGGGACAGCATCCTAGTGTCTTTAGAATGCAAAGAGAGTAGACTCAAACACCAGCCGGGCCACGCCACCAAGATGTGACCTTGGACAAGTACCTTCACCTCAGTTTTTCTATCTGAACAATGGGCACAGTGTTACCTGGGTCACAGGGTTGGTGCAAGACTTAAACGGCAAGATGTGGAGAAAGCACTTAGTGTGATGCCAGGCAGGAAGACCAACAGCAGCCACCCATCAAAGAGGTGAACATTTTAGCCATTCATCATGAAGGTTAACGTGTTTTAATTTCTAATTGAAAGTGAAGTCATGAGAAAGGCTACATCCTGCCCAGACACGCTCTCAGTCCCAGGGTTAATGGAGATTTCCATCGTAAGAGTTACCAGCAGTTCTTTTTGTGGGTTTTTTTTTGTTGTTTTATTTTTAAACAGCTTTTTCGAATGCCAGAAGGTACCGCTTATCTTTGGTTTTTTGTTCGTTTGTTTATTTTTGGCTGCATTGGGTCTTCATTGCTGCACAAGGGCTTTCTCTAGTTGCAGCAAGCAGGGGCTACTCATCGTTGCGGTGCGCAGGCTTCTCATTGCGGTGGCTGCTCTTGTTGTGAAGCACGGGCTGTAGGCACGCAGCTTCAGTAGTTGTGGCATGCGGGCTCAGCAGTTGTGGCTCTCGGGCTCTAGAGCGCAGGCTCAGTAGTTGTGGCACACGGGCTTAGGTGCTCCGCTGCATGTGGGATCTTCCCAGACCAGGGACTGAACCCGTGTCCCCTGCATTGGTAGATGGATTCTTAACCACTGCACCACGAGGGAAGTCCACCAGCGTTTTTTTTAATGGAGGTGAGTTAATACTCTGGATCCCATTCATGCAAAGTTAGTGGCACTTTGGATTAGAGGGAGGCTGAGGTTCATCTCTGTGTTGTACTTTTGAGAAAAGATACAGCTGGGCAAATTAGCAGTGGACAAACACCTTTGAGGAGGGGCAGCTTGCTCAGCCCCACACCCTCTCTGTCCCCTCTCATTCCCAGGGAACCACCACAGTTTGGCTCGTAATAATTCTCCGCCTCATGGCTTCTCTCTCTCTAATTACATAGTAAGCTGATGGAGGAGAGGAACCACGTCTCCTACTTCTTTTTATATCCCCCAAAGCATCCAGCATAATGCCGAGAACAGAGATGTTTAATACAAACCTCGATGAATAATTCAGCCACACTTTTCCCTAAGAAATGGAACTTCGCAGTAACAAATCACCGTTTCAGAAAAATGGCTCCCTCAAATGAGAATCTGGGACTCAATGCCAGAGGCCAATTGGGGCAGCCCCATCTTGCACACACCTGACACGCCACCATCCAGAAAAGAGGCATTGTTGGATGGTGTGAAATGAACAACAAAAGATGTGTCCCCCTCACGCTTAGTGAGCTGCATCACATCGGAATTTCCTGGTTGCCTGGCAACAGCCACTGGAGAGACCAGCGTGCTGTGCCCCTCGGTCCCAAAGAGGGGATTACCCTGTGTCTGGTGAGATTCAAAGAGCTTAAGGGTGAGAGGAGGTGGGACACATCTCCCCGGGAAATTACTGTGACTTAATACCTTGAGAATGTCCTAGTTCACAGTTGTCTTCCCCAGGGATATGTGGGTTAAGAAGGATTCTGTGCGTGGGCCTCACAACCTAACCGCTATTCAACACACTGTTTTAATGGGGAAAATATATTCAAGTTCCAAATAACAACTTCCGAACGTGCTTTTGGAACATGACCCATTTCTAAGAAGGTGGCTTCCCACACAGTGAAGATGGCAAGACAAAGCAGAAGCTTAAGTGCCCCATTGGACAGGCTGCCCTGAGTTAAATGAAGCCCTAGAAGGAGGAGCCAGCCGTCAGGCTAGCTGACTATCAGGGCCATATCCAGAGGGTAACATCTGACCCACGGGGTCATCATTCCTATAACCCAGTCCCAAGCCAGCACCCGCCTTGCTCACAGCATGCTCCCTGGGCACTAAACTTGCAAACTCCCTGTGCATAATCTACCCCTCCCCATGCGTGCACGGAACGCAGTGCCCCAGGGAAGGGTTTCCATCTGCTCATGGAGGTTACTAGAGCAGGCAGTGAAAGTCTGATCAGGACCCGCACTCTCCACTACCACGCAGGGCCTTCCAGATGACAGGTTCCTTCTGTCCTGTGATCAGCCTGTTAAAGTCCAAACGATGACTGTCCCTTGAGCCCATCCGAGACTACTGCCAAGCTTTACGGACAACCCCCGGGAACATGATTCACGACAGCAACCGACATTGATAATCAAAGTCCGTATCAGTGGCTGAGAGGAAAACATATTGGATTTTCAAGCTGACTTTCAAGAGAACGTAAAGCTACTCTGCACGGCTGTGAGACCATCACATTTGGTGAACTCGATTTTTCAATGTAAGATCTGTGCAGAGGACCCTCTGCCTCGACCAGACAGTGTGCTCTGAATCAGGAGTGCCCCGGCCGCACGGCCATGCCTTGGGGAGGCTGCAAGTCCGTGGGAACAATGCCGAGCATCCCGGCCCGCAGCGCGGGGACACTGGGCACCATCTGATGCTGCGTTAAGGTCGCACTTTGGTGTGAGTGCGTCAGCAAGGGGTGCCTTATCTCGCTGTCAGGGGGACTAGAGATGTCGTCAACACCAACTTGTAAAACTAAAGGTAACTGGTCATTATCTCAATGAGTAGCTGAGAGAGGGGAAGACCCAAGGAGGGTAGGGGCCTCACCCCCTAGAGCTCCCGTAGCCCTCAGACAGCCCTCTGAGGCAGGCATTATAGCCAGGGTATAGATGAGGAAAATGAGCTCAGAGACCCTAGTTCGAGGTCATTCCCAGGGTTATTAGCACAGGGCCAAGGCTCAAGTTCAGGGCTTTGGTCTGACTCCAAATTGTGTGGATTTCTCCCTTCCCTTGGCCAGAAAGCTTTTTTTTTTTTTAAAGTAAATCCATTGCTTTATCTCTCTTTGAGGTTCATCCTTAGCATAAAATCAGAACGTGAGTTTCAAAGCAGAACAATGTCACCCTCTCCCTCTCTCCTTGTCCAACAGCATCCACACGGGCCATTACGGAGGGAAGGTGTGAATGACTCGCCGGCAGCCTTCAGGGACCTAAGGAAGCCTCCTCCATTCAGCAGGGAGCACGAGAAAGATGGGGTTGAAGGAGAAAAACTCCAGGGGCGAACCCGTTTCTGGCCCCAAACTCACCGTTCTGGGTCAGTTTGGTGGAGCACACGAGAGTTGAGATCTGGAAGGAATCTTTACTGATGGTGCAGCTCCCAAGACTCTGCATGCTCTTCCCCGTCGCCGAGTGGCCCTTCTCTTCCAACTCAGCTTTGGTGGACGGCAGGCTCAAGTACGTGCCGGCGTCTTCCAGCTTCTTCGCTTCGGCCTGTGGGTTTAATGATGCGACAGGTCAAATAGAACTGACAATCCCGTGCAATATTTTCTACCCCTTAGGATCCTTAATCCTTTTAACCATCATGATATTTGCTCTTTATCATTTGCTAAACCACTTATTTTATTTTTTTTTAACTTTTTATTGTATATTGGAGTATCGCTGGTTAACAGTGTTGTGTTAGTGTCAGGTGTACAGCAGAGTGATTCAGTTATACATGTACATGTGTCTATTCTTTTTCAGATTCTTTTCCCTACTAGGCTGTTACATAATATTGAGCAGAGTTCCCTGTGTTAAACTGCTTATTTTAATGATTTCCCTTATTCCTGGAGATGAATTCACATTCACACAGAGGATTTTTTTAAACAGCACTTAATGCGTTATTGTGTGTCAGCTTCTCTCCTCAGGGACAGCTGGTCATCTGAAATGTTCATTTACATAATTAAATGTTGCTAGATAGCAGTGTTCTCACAAAGATGGGAAATGTCAGCTCAGGCCAGGGAGCCCAGAAAGACTTGAAACAGTCAATATTAGCAACACTGCACCAACAGAAGAGCGTACCTTATAGACAATAAGATCATGTTCCCTGTCTCTTAGGGTGGTCCCATCGTAGCGCATCAGCTTTACAAAAGCGAGTGCGAATATCTTCTCGGATTTATCCTTAGCTGCAATAGAAAGTAATAATCATTTTCTACTGCCATCGCGACAGAAAAGAACATCATAAAATGCTACAAGGGCTGCCTTTCTGAAAAAAATTACAAAACTGTTCTGACAGATGTTAAAGTAAACATAAACGGAGATACAGACAACGTTCACTTACCGTAAAAGGATCAGCTGTGCTCAAACTAATCTGTAAATTCAAAGCAATTACAATCAAAATCTCATGGGAGAGCTTCCTTGTGGAACTTGAAAACTGATTCTACAGTAAAGGACCAACAGTAGGAGGATGGTTTTGGAAAGGAACGTGGAGGAAAGCCTGCAATACTAAAACCCAACGGTAACTGGAAAGTGGTAACAATGAAGACGGTGGGTTTTTAACACAGGGATTCACAGACCAGTGGAAACAAACAGGGCATGAAAACACAGGCCATTGCAAGTGACCACTGGAAGGGGCAGACCCTTCAGAGTGTCAGCAGGGACAAACAAAACAGATGGATGCTCACCTCACACCCTCCACAAATGAAAGTCCCAGGTGGGCTACACACCCTACTGTGAAATGTTGTTCTCTTTGGCAAGAAAGTCCTTCCCCCAGAATTAGCATGTGAGACTCATTCTCTCACTTCATTCAAGTTTCTGCCAAAGTATCACCTGCTCTGAAGTGACCAGCCTGCCTAGAAGAGCAAATGCCTACCCTGGCCAGTTCTTCACAGTCGCTATGGGCTGAACTGTTATGTTTTATTTGTTCAACAAAATTCTTATGCTGAAGCCTAACCGCCCCCCTCCACCACGTGGCTGTATTGGAGAAAAGGCCTGTAAGGAGGTTCTTAGGATTAAAAGGTCATAAGGGTGAGGCTCTGATGCTATAGAACGGGTGCCCGTAGAAGAAGGGAAACAGACACCAGAGTGGTCCCTCTCCGTGTGAGCTCACAGAGAGAAGGCGGCCGTCTGCAACCTGGGAGAGGGTCCTCACCAGAACCTGACCATGCTGGTACCCTGATCTCGGACTTGCAGCCTCCAGAACTGTGAGAAAGTAAATCTCTGTTGTTTAAGGCACGCAGTCTATGGTATTTTGTTATGGCTGCCCAAGCAGATTAAGACAACAGATTACCAAGAGATTACTACCAGATTACCAAGAGATTACCAAGCCTGTAGGGTGTCTGTGCATGAGAAAGGGCCAGGGGAGGGGGGAGACAACTGGGCTTTCCCATGCAGAAGACATTGTGCATTTTTTCACTGCTATCTCCCCAGTGCATGAAATAGTGCCTGCTATATATGTTAGGTACTCAAATATTTGTTCTAGATGGGGAGACGCCAACAAACAAGTCCTTTCAAGGACTTCCGTGGTGGTCCAGTGGGTAAGACTCTGTGCTCCTAATGGGGGGCCCAGGTTCAATCCCTGGTCGGGGAACTAGATCCCGCATGCATGCCGCAACTAAGAGTTTGCATGCCACATCTAAGGAGCTGGTGAGCCGCAACTAAGACCTGGTGCAGCCAAAATAAATAAATAATTTTTTTTTAAGTCCTTTCAGATAACAAATAAAACAAAAATTGGTGGCTTGTTAAAGCGTGCTGATGGGAACAGGGACCACCCAGCTGGATGGTTGGAAAAGGTCTCTCTGAGAAGACCTTCTTGCTGACGTATGAGCCAAGATGTAAACCCTCCAGGAAAAGAGATGGCCAAATACGGAAGCCCTAAAGTGGGACCGGCCTGCCTTGCTTGGGGACTGGAAGCCCGTGTGGCTGGTGAGTGGTAGGCAGTGAGAGCTCCAAGGTGGGCAGGTGCCAGATCAGGTAGAGATAGATGAGGAGTCTGGACTGAAGAAATGGATTTGTGATGAATTTTTCAAGATGTAAGCTGAACACAGCACGGAAACACTGAGTTTCAGGGCTAGAAAAGACCTTTAAATTATAGATCCCATGGGCTCCCCTGGTGGCGCAGTGGTTGAGAGTCCGCCTGCCGATGCAGGGAACACGGGTTCGTGCCCCGGTCTGGGAAGATCCCACATGCCGCGGAGCGGCTGGGCCCATGAGCCATGGCCGCTGGGACGCCAAAAAAAAAAAAATTATAGATCCCAGATTCTCTTTTTGGAGATGAAAGGACAGAGGTTGAAGAGCATACATCTGCCCACCTTGAGTCAGGGGCTCAGAATATTTGCTATAGGACATCACTGCCTGAGATACCACGTCTCATTAGTCTTTGCGTTCCTGGTGTCCATCGGGTCTGGCACACACATTAGGTGTTCAATAAATGCTAGCTAATTAACTGGATGAACGATTGACCAACCAAAGCTAAAGGGAGGGATAAAAGCAAAAAATATGTACTTCTAGAAATTGAAAGAACTTTGTGAAAGGGTTCTTAAAAACATAAAACTCAGTGTTCGGGTGAGAAGGAAGAGATCCTTTTAAGTTTGGGCTGACATGAAAAAAATTAAAAACACATCTCTGAAAGCAGCTGCAGTTCAGGACACGTGACCATATCTGCCAGCAGAAGGCTTCCCCTGACCCTACTCTCAAGTAGCACACAACTTAAAAGTGCACCTTTTATCAATACTCTGCATCTTCACACAGGGGATGGACTGCATTTGTTACATCCTCATTAGCAGCCATTATGAGGCAGACAAGAAATTTACAAAACGTCAGAGGCCACAGAAGAAGGCCACGTGCCCCAGAGGGCGGGCAGCGCTGGCGGACCCAACCAGCCCCCTGCAAACAAGGGAAACTCGGCTCCTGGCAGGCCGGCCCCAGAAGCCACTCATCTGCCCGCATCCACATAGAACATCAGCTGATGCGTTCGGAACGGCTAACAAGCTGTGGCAGTGTCAGACGGTCACACCAGCGCCAAACGTCCCAGCCCCAAGGACAGCTCCCGGTGCGAGAAATCCCCTCACTTCCTTCCACTAGGGGTAAAGAGCGCGCATTTTGCCTGGGGCGGCGGGGAGGGCATGCGGCGTGGCCTTCCTCCCATTTCTGACCCAGAGCATCTGCAGACGAGGCCGCAGCAGGGGCCCCACTGGCCCCCATCCCGCCCGCAGCGGACAGCTCGGGACGGCGTCAGCATCACACTTGCAATGCTCGACACGTTCCCCAAACCCCACCAGCTGTGGCCGGGGAGACTTCATTAATTATGCAAGTGTGTCGTGGGAGGCCGGGTGATAGCATCTTGTCTATAATGAGTACTTAAAACTGACAGGAAAAACAAGGATTTTGAAAATTAAAATGCTACCAAAGAGATCCCTCTGCCCTGGTGTAATCTATTAATTAGAGAGAATGAGCTTGTTCTAAAGAGGGAGCGTGCTTCTGAGACAAGTCCCCTGTGCATTCTAGAACTTTGTCCTTGCCCTGCAAAAGGGCTCCCCACCCTCTCCTCCCCTGCAGCCCATTCGCACCCCCGGCAACTTCCGGTGTGCAGGGCGCTGGGCCCACCACACCTTCTGGGACTTGGCTGAGGACATACCTGCCCCCAATTCCTCCAATCACCCACCTGACCCTGCTCACCCCGCACCTCTGCCTAATGCACAGGACGCTCCCAGGCCGCTGCTCCGCACGTGGCTCTTGCAAGCCGATCTCACGCCTCAACCCAACCTAAGTCTGGCAAGAGGAGAACTCTCTGTGTGAGCTGCGTATACAGCAGGTGCTCAACACAGACCAAATGACTGCAGTGGCCTCGGTGCTCCCCAAAGGCAGGGGAGACACAAGGATTGAGGTGGGAACCAGAGGTCTTCCACTGACCATCAGGTGACTCTGGGCCACTGAGGTGGGGTCTCTGAGGCTCAGTTTCCTCATCTGTAATGTAGGAAGCGCCAATGATCTACCGCACAGCATCGTGGTGAGGACTCATCTAAATAACGTGGTACAAATACTTGCGCCAGGAGAGAGTAAGAGCACGATGAACACGTACGAAGAGGTGTCCGCATCCGTCCGAACATCTTATCCATCCACGTTTCAGCCATCCAGGAGTGCCCACAGTTAGCAGACCCCAGCCCGCTGCCTGGTGGCCTGGATTTGGCCCGAAATGGGGCGGGCCCGGCTTTCCAACCTGCCCAGACTTCACACCCTGCGCCTCCCACACTGCTTGGGCCCCGACCCCTTCTCAGCTGGCCCCTTAAGCACTGGGACAAGAGGAGGGGTGGAATGATGCTCCATAGTGCTCCCACCCCTCCCCCGGCATCCTCCACACGCCCACTCACCACGAGGGACCCCGTGCTGCTCTAGAGCCCTTGGTTCAGCCACCTCCCGGCCTCACCCCACGCAAGCACATCTTCGGGCTGACAGTCACACTTTCCACACACCAGCCCTGTAGTCCTCGCGCCTCTTCAACCTCACAGAGCTTCTCACTGGTCCCACACGGGAGTCTACGTACCCCCAACTTCATGCCTCTGCTCACGTGTTCACCCTCCCGGCTGCTCTCCTGCACCCTTGCCTCTGCGGGCTCCACGCTCTGGGGAGGGCACAGGTCAGGCAGGCCCCCAGAAACAGTAAGGAGGGTGGACACACCATCACAGCAGCGGTGGTCCTGTGGAGCCCTATCCTATGGCCGGCATCCTGCTGAGGGATTGGCAGCCCCCATGCATTCCCCTCCTCAGGCTGAAACATCTGTGAAGACACACAGAGCCAGGGCTGAGGTCCCCCAACCGCAGGGCTCTGGCCCCCACAGGCTGGTGGGTGCCAAACGCGTCCACCCAGACCACCGTTCCCTCGATGCCGCTGCACACATAACCCAGCATCACTTATTTTCTCAAACCTTAGCCCACTGCCAGATGGATAGAGACCATGAAGGGCAGGGGGCATATCTTCCCCTTGTGATATCTTACTTAGTGTCTAGCACAGGGTGACGTCCTTAGCAGACAACGAATTCAACACAGGTAATGAGACAAACTTCAATCATCGATAATAAATCCTCCTGGAAGGTGACTGATTCAAACTTCTTTCCTCTCAAAGTCTTGGCATCACGGCCAAGGCTACACCAACGTGGACGAGAAAAGGCAAGGCAGAGCTCCAGGCACCAGCAGCTGGCAGCAAAGCCAGAGGTCTTCAACGCCGATGCAAGAGCATTAAGAGCAATTTTTGAAATCTAGGTATTATATCTCAGTGACTTTTCTGATGGATGGGGCAGTATTACAAGCCAAAGGGAAAGAGGAAACCCAAGGCGTGAGTAGGAAGGAGCGGCACCTCATCAGACAAATTCGAGAAGAAACTGAAGATCTCTAGGATCAACTCAATCAGAGTGGACAGCACTTCACGGGACCAGGTTCGCATGGGCGCGGAGCTGAAGTGTCAAGACCTCACAGTGTTACAGTAGCCACGTTCTAGAACAATCCAGAGTAAGTGCATGATAAACACGGGATAACGAAGCGTGTGGTTACTCACAGTCCTGGGACGATCTATGTCGGAAGGTAAACCGGAGGTGACTGCGGTTCACGTCCTCAATGGGGATGGCCACCTGCGGAATAAAGAGAGAAGCTGAGCACCTTTAGGAACATCTTCTCGCTCGATCAGCTTTGTTCCCCTGGAGACATCCTGGACCACTCTACACTCTTCTGCACTGCAGGGAGAAGACACCGTACACCTCATCCCCTGTATGACTGTCCCAGAAGCAAATGCCTTTCGAAAATTTACACCAGATAATACTGTCCGGGATGCCAAGCACACTGGACAAGGCAGCTGAATTTTTTTTTAAATGTGATCCTCAGCGTGAAGAGTCTATTTTTAAAAGTTGCCATTTTCGTTTTTAGCCCCGATTTGGAGGTGTCTATATTCCCTCTACGGTTGTAGGGACCTGCCCTCGGCTGCAGCGAGAAGGCGGTCCTTTTGTGACTTACAGTAAAAGGCAAAAGACTTAATACCTGCTGCCTTTAAGCCAAGATTGTCCCTAATCTCATAGCTAACATCTGTATTCCAAAGCCAACCGCTGGCCTGGTGTCCCAGTACCCAAGCCTGTGCGTGGGCTGCGTGGGGGTATCAGCGGGCTGCATTAGGAGCCTCAGAGCACCAAGGCCAAGGGAACAGGATGCATCTCTCCAGTGATGCCCTCTGTGTATTATCATCTCTATTTTTTTCCATTTGGTGTAAAGACAGCATGCCACACATAAAACAGACCCGAGAAGAGAAAGACAATTGCTATCTTTAAAGGACTCTGTATTTGTCTCCAGGAAAGTCCTGGTTTTAGGTCCAAAAGGAGATGAGAGTAAATGTAAATTCCAAGAAACACCAGCATGGTTCCTTAGCAACCCTAAAGGACTTTGTTGAAAGTGCCTTGGGGGCTGGCGGAGGGTGTCCACGGTGGGCAGCCCTGGGCTGGGCAGGAGGCGGGAACTTCCTCAGGGTACAAATGAGCATTTCATAATTAACCCAATGGGAAAAGGACCATGCAAATGATACCTTAACCGTCTCAAACCAGCGCGGCTGTTTCACTTGGTAATAAATCACGGACTTGTATTCTGAAATAGCTTCATCGCCAGCGCCCGGGAAAATCACATGCTTTAAAAGAAGAGGCATAAAGAGATCACATCAGCCCTCACAGAGCCTGAGGCTGCATCCATGTCCCCCAACCCCCCACCCGGTTTGATGATCCAGAAGGAGCGAGGGCCCTCGGGGAACACCAATAACCCCATGGCCCACGGAACACCTCCCAGCGATGGAAGAACAGATCTGGCTGGAGCCAGCAGCCAGCAGAAAACCTTGCTCACAGACATCTAAGATCTTCATGGCTATGCGGTATATGGGGACGCTACTGTCCTCCATTCCTTTGTACCCTTACCCCTAATAACTTTCACCCTGGACCCGCAGCAAGTTGCCTGACTCGGCGGCTGGAGTAAAGGGCTGCAGACCAAAAAGGAGGTAGCAGCACTCTGTCCCTTCTCTAGCCACAGACACTGACCACACGCGGTCAGCGAGACCAGTAAAGCCCAGGGGAAAAGGGCAGGGACACTGGACACAGGCCACCCAGAGAGAAAGGATGCCACCCACCTCCTGGCGCAGCTGGGCCTCAGGAGCACCCACAGGGCACTGCTCTCGGCCACGTGGGCCCAGGGGAGCCCAGGCTGCAGCCACGGGCCAGAGAAGCAGCTGGCGGAGGGCCCCAGCTTGGGCTCAGCCTCCAGTCCTCAGAGAAGGCCGCAGCCTCTGAGCACTTCCCAGGGCACCCGCAGGCTGCTGTGACCATGCAGGAGGAGGTCTTGGTAACCACCACCGAGCAAAGCACAAGGCTCAGAGGCCCAGATTCACAACCCAGTTCCACCTCTCATGAGCTCTCTGACCTTGAGCAAGGTGACTGATTTCTCTGGGGCTCAGTTTCCATCTGTCTCAAAAGATGCTAATAACAGTATCTGAACTTCTAATGTGATCATTCGCCCTCTGAGCCTCTGGTTTACACCGGCAAGTGGGACCCCAGGATAGAGTTTGGAAAAGAAGGTGGTCAGTTGGACTTCCCTGGTGGTGCAGTGGTTAAGAATCCGCCTGCCAATGCAGGGGACACAGGTTCAAGCCCTGGTCCAGGAAGATCCCACATGCCGCGAAGCAACTAAGCCCGTGCGCCACAACTACTGAGCCTGCGCTCTAGAGCCCACGAGCCACAACTACTGAAGCCCATGCGCCTAGAGCCCGTGCTCCGCAACAAGAGAAGCCACCACAATGAGAAGCCCGCGCACCACGGCGAAGAGTAGCCCCCGCTCGCCGCAACTAGAGAAAGCCCGTGCGCAGCAATGAAGACCCAACACAGCCAAAAATAAACAAATAAATAAAAAGAAGGTGGTCAGGACCCCAGGGTCGTCCTGAGACAGGCCGGCTGCTGGGACCCAGTGGAAACCAGCCCTCTTAGGCAAGGGAAGAAAAGGAAGAAAAAGCAAACGCTCTTCCCCAGAAATAAGATTGTGGCTTTTGGCATCCTGCAGCAGAGCCAAGGCGCACACTTGGGAAGTAAAACTTAAACACTACAGGTTCAACTTTGCAACAATCAATACCTCCAGTCGTTTTCCATCTTCATCGTAAACAGACACTGTAACCTCAACATTCTTTGCCGTCGTTTTGCTTCCTTTATCAAAATCTCCTTGAACTAATGTTACGTAGATATCGTTTCGGACATCACCTGGGGGGAAAAAATTACACCTTTAAAACCAATCCATAGGGCTTCCCTGGTGGCACAGTGGTTGAGAGTCTGCCTGCCGATGCAGGGGACACGGGTTCGTGCCCCGGTCCGGGAAGATCCCACGTGCCACGGAGCGGCTGGGCCCGTGAGCCATGGCCACCGAGCCTGCGCATCCGGAGCCTGTGCTCCGCAACGGGAGAGGCCACGACAGTGAGAGGCCCGCGTACCGCAAAAATAGAAAAAAAAAAAACAAACAAACCAATCCATTATTCACAGTGTAACTGTGATTTCTGCCATTCCTAGCAGAGTATCATAAATACTGTATCAGATGATTATGAAGTATTTTCTACAAAATAGTGTCCGCATTTAACAGCATGACAAAGGCAATTTTCATCACTATAAGACTTGCAAGAAAGAGGAAAATGTCAGGGCCCCTAATTATCTGCTTGGTGCTTCACGTGGGCAGAGGAGCTCTTACACTCCATGGGCAGCCCATGCCCGGGGCAGCTCGAACGCTGTCAGTGGGTTTGCGCAGACGCTAGCGCCCCCCCCATCCCCCAGCATCCATGGCCCACTGCAACCCACATCGCCACCCCTTATTAGGGCATGGCTGCAGTCATCTGAGGCTCAGTAGCCAAGGAATACCCCAACACCCACTGGCACACCAAGGATAACCAGCAACACTGGCCTCCTTTTCGTTCCACTGAGGAGTTGAACAAAAACAGTATTTGAACCACAAGCCAATGTCCTGAGTTGACACTTAGGATCGGGGACTAGGGATGGGTCAAGAGAGAAACTTTCTGCAAAGAATCCTCTCTCCTCCTGGCAGGCAGTTGTCAAGATCCTGAACGGGGACACAGGGAGCAAAGCCTCATACATTTTTTAAGTGAGATGGGCCTTAAACTGTGCCCCCAAAAAATACAACCCCACACACACACGCAACAAATGAGCTCAAGACGCTTCCTCCTCCTGAGAATACACAAAGCCCCTGGCAATGGTCCGACTGGGAAAACTTTGCAAGCTTCATTAGCAGCATGATTTAGAGGGAGCATCGCTACGCTCTGACGGCTGCTCTGCTGTCTGTCTGGCTGCCTCAACAGTGTGGCCAGGAGCAGCAAATGACCTGCTCTGGGCAAAGAACAAGGATCCCCGAAAAGAAAAAATCCCCTTGGTTTCTTGTTTTTCTTTTGCTTTCTAGACTGCTCTATTCTGGCTTTTAATGTATCCAACCATTAGATTAAGCTTTCATTTAAAAGTCATTATTGTAATAATCCCAGCGGGTTGCTACCACTGCCATAGTAGCTGCTGGTAAAGAAGTAGGGCTGTGATCGCCGATAGCGACCACGGAGAAGTTAAAAAGGATGGCGCACAGGGCTGGGGGCAGGAGGCAAGGCTGCCGGTCCAGGACCTGCCGCTAATTAGCTGTGTGACCTCAGACCAGTCACTTAACCTCCCAGGCCACTCACCACTAAACGGCCTGATGGATAAGGCAGGGTAGTCTGTACAAGCGCTCCGCCTGAAAATTCTATCAAAGCACCAACGCCATCATCAAAAAGGGCCACAGCAGCTTCATACGGGCCTCATCAGCCAGAGAGGCAGCATGCGCTGGGCAGGGAGGTGGCTGAACCTCAGGGTCCCCTCCTCCTATGGGCCTAGGGATCCTGACTCCAGCCCAGAAGTAAGACCCCATTTACAGGCGGTCAATACCCCCGATGGGCACTCACTCACAAGAGGGTCTCAGCAAATGCCTCCCGGGCTACAAGGTTCTCTTTCTGGGGAGGATGGAGGCTGGAAGCAGATACAGGTGGCCCACCCAAGCCTCCAGCCACCTTCCCAGCTCCGGCGACAACTCTGCTTCCCCACCAGGATCCTTCAGAAGGACCTAGGGATTCCCAGCGGGTCATGAGAAGGTAGGAGAACCAGCAACAGTGACACAGCCGGCTCTCCCACCGTGCAAAGGAGATGCACGTCTCCGTAGAAACGCGTATACAAGAAGGCACAGGTTCTGCGAGGCTGAAGGCGGGGGTCTGACAGAGCCCCCCCAAAAGGGTAAGGTGCGGTGCTCACAGCCTCTCAGTGGTCACTCAGCCACCGAGGATGTGGGGGACTCACTCAAGCCGCGCTTGCTCACTATGGGAAGCCCAACCCCAGACTTAGGACATGGAACAAGCCAGAACAACGATCAGCTGCACAGTTTCCCCAGGCATCGATCATGAGATTATCATAGAGGTTTAGACTTACTTTTTAAGTCTATCAATTGTAAGGGAGGCACAAGCAGCATGAACCAGAAGTTTCCCAGGTTTGCCTTTGCACACGAGGGCCTCCTCAGGTCACCCAAGATAAATGCATGATGTCAATGACGTTATCCTCATCTACAAATTTGCACCTTGAATCCAAATGCAAACAGTACGTCCACTCGGAAGTCCAAGTTAATTAGCTGCATATAGAACAGCCTTGACTCATACAAGCAATAGGTGTTCCATCGTTTCTTAACTTGCTGAGTGTCATGCTTACCTCCTCTACAGGTGAGACTGGCAAACATTCAATCTAGCTGATGTTAGATGTCTTTCCTATCGTTTTAACAGACAGAGTAGACAATGACCCACAACAGCCCTGAAAGGCAGAGGGAGCAGAAAGAACATGTCCCTAAAATGCCCTAAAATAAACGGAGCAATAACGTTGAGGCACACTGAGTGCCCAGCTCTCCCTGTGAACCTACAGCAAAGCCCTGTAACCAGGAGGCTGCAGGGAAGCACCGACCATGGGGTGCTTTGGCCCCGTTTCCACTGCTCGTTACCCGTGTGACTTCAGGCTATGGCTTCATCTTGATGGGAATTAGTTCAACACCAATTTGTAGGCTTCCAAGATCCTTATATGGAATCAAGCTAGATTATTAATGGGAACAGTATTTGCAAACCAAAAAGTATCCCACGGTTATCGCGGATGAAGATTCATGCTTCCCACGATCTCGTTGAAAATATCAGAGGTTAACCTTAACGTGGGCTCTCATTATCAGTTTAATAAGTGTAAACCCCATGGCTGGGTTGGGGCGATACTAGTTTGATAACTAATACACACTGAGCGGGTACCGGGTGTAAACATTCACAGGCTTCACGCATGGAACCTGTGCATCCGCCCTGCAGCAGCCTTTGTGTTGGGCCGTCACTTTCTGCTCCCCCTTCCTTCTTTTGATCAGATGTCTATCCAGACATGTGTAGTGTGTCCCTGTCTCCCTCATACAGCCCTTGCAGCTGGGAGGAGCTGACCCCTTCCAGAGGTCCCTGTGGCCGATGTGCATATGTCACCACCATCGCTGTCCAGGGTCCCCAGGGGACCTGAGGCCAGATGACGCTTGGCCTGCTTGTTTGGAAACACTGGGTGGAAAGCATGTCGTCTTCTTCAAGACACTGGGATTTGGGAAGAAGGTGGGCGCCAGCAGGACCTGTCCCCAGAGGATAAAGTCAACACGCAAAGGAGACAGCTCAGCAGAGGGGGCTGAAGAGAACCGGAGCCAGTGATCCAGGCTGACCTGGCAACAGGCTCTGTCCCTTTTCCTCATTCACATGACCGACAAGTATCCTCAGGGTGCGGCCATTTGAGCTGGCCTTGTGTTTTCTGTTACTTACACCCTAAAGTATCCTAACTCCAACCAGATCTATAGGTAGGAATTATTATTATTCTTGTTCTTCAGAGGAGGAAACCACAGCTAAGAGAGATCGGCTAACTTGCCCAGGGCCAGGGAGGGGCAGAAATGATATTCATACCAGAGGGTGGGCTGCCTGCACTCTCGCTTCTGGGGCCAATGGATGGGGTTCAAGGCTGTGGACCACTGTGGTGAAGAGACATTTAACCCATAACCTACCAAAGAGGGTTATTTTCAAAGCTTGGAACATAAGAGGGTATATTTACCCAAATTGTGCTCCCTTCATTTTGAACACATTCTGGATAATTCAAATGCTCTTACAGGATCATAAGACAGACCCAGGACCATCATCGTGAACACATTCCGGATAATTCAAATGCTCTTATAGGATCATAAGACGGGCCCAGGACCATCATCGTGAACGTACGTTATTATCGTAAAGGAGTCGCCTTAGTCCTACCCAACCATCATAATCAATCCGTTCCTCAGAGCCTGAAAGTGAATTCTGCACAGCTCTCCAGGCGGTCCCCTGTCTGATCACCCTCTATCACATCTGCACAGCTCTCCAGACGGTCCCCTGTCTGATCACCCTCCATCACATCTGCACAGCTCTCCAGACCGTCCCCTGTCTGATCATCACCCTCTATCACATCTGCACAGCTCTCCAGACGGTCCCCTGTCTGATCACCCTCTATCGCATCTGCACAGCTCTCCAAACGGTCCCCTGTCTGATCACCCTCTATCACATCATTAACTAAGGATCACCCGACCAAACGCATTCAGTCCTTCGGCCAGGGTGAGTGAGATGTCAAACGCCCATTCTTCCGTCCCAGACGCTGTGGGCAGAAGACGCACTGCAGGCGTCCTGAGTAAGGGCAGCAGCAGAGCACGGAGCAGCGGTGCGTTTGATCACGATCACGACGGCGTTTTGCCCAGCTGGCGACAGAAACCATCTCAAGGTCTCAGGGCTGGGTCTCTGGCCAGTGCTGTTTCATTTGCTTATCCCTGGGTGCTCGGCTGTCACGCTGGCCGCAGCTCCTGCCTGCAGGAATGACCCAGCGCCACGCGGGGCTTTACGCCCTCGACCCTCTGCTTCCCTGAGCTCCTGCCTAAATGTCGCTCTTTGCAGCCAGCTACATAAACCCTCCCAATGCCGGCCGCATCCACCCCACGCTCAGAGGGGCTAAAGGATTCATCCATTCTTACCAGGCATGATTATCTCCGGAAACCCCGTTTTCCGAGCCACTGCTGTGGTCCTGTCCACCAAATGAGGAAATTCTTTTCTAATCTGATGGATATCTCCAGGAAGTAATTTCAATGTTACCCACAAACCTAGAAAAGCAATGGATGCATGAGTCACATTTTATCATGTACAACTTTATATCTTGTACATTTTTAGAAGTTTTCATGAAATCAATATCAATGAATGAGCAGCTTTTAATTCACAATGCCATGCCTTAAGAGGAAGTGTGGGTGGATGAGAAAGACAGGAGCGGGACCAGGGGAAAGGTGCCTGGCACAGATGCCTGCATCTGATTAGCTGGGATGCAAATCCCACACTGGAGGAGCCTAAGGACATAACAGCAGTTACGTGCTACCTCTGCCTGGGACTGATGACTCTTTTGAGTTGATATACATTGAAGACAAATCGGAAGGTAGCATTTTTCTGGAAGGGGACTGAGAAGGCTATCATTTTCCATTCTCCCAAGAAGAATGACAGCGGGAGAGGATTCAGGAGGTAAATTCGCAGCTTCACAAATCCACGAAAGTATCCAGTCGCTCAGCGGCACCCGTGCTCCCGGGAAGGGGAGCCGCAGAACACAGGGCTGGGGACCACCAGCGGGCCAGCCACACGACTGGGACAGCGGCAGTCAGGGCAGCCCCGTCCCTCTGTTTCACAATGTCACAGCAAAGTAGCAACTAATGCTCTGGCCACCACTCAGCTCCTTTCTCCAAGGGGGAAAATGAAGGCTTTCAAACCCTCTAAAAGAGATGCAAGGATGCCCGAGAGAGAGCACGGTGTACCTGGGAGGCGTGTGTGCCCTGCCCTCTGTCCCCTCCTCCACAAAAGCTGACGCATTCTGTATAAAATGCTCCAGGAGCAGCAATCAAACGATAAGAGGGAAGAAAGCCGACACCTGACAAAGTCGAAGGCAGGACACAAAGCAGTGGCTTGGCTCCGTCAGTGTTTGCAAGGACGCGCTCTCCTAGGGACGGAGGGGTGTCGCTACCAGTTGGGGTCTCCGTCCTTGAGATTTTGGGGGCCTGGCCTGCTTGCTCTCCTCTCACTCAGCTCTGCGGGACCCCACCTGCCCATCAGAACATAACAGTACCTGTCCTCACTTACATGACTATTGTGTGTGTGCCCACGTGTGTATCCTCTAGACGCATGCTTCCAGGGACCACTCACCACTGTTTAGCTCAGCACCCTGCACTCATTAGAAGAAAATGGGAAAACCACAGACCTTGTTCACGAACAACTTTCATTCTAACTGGACCTGGAAGACAGCTGATGGGGACACACAAGGAACACACCTGAGGCTGCTTCTGCTGCGGGCGGCTCTGCTGAATTAAACCTCACGCCTCACTCCCTCCCCCCCCCCCCTCCAGCCCCCTCGCCTCCCAGCAGCTGGCCTGTCCTCTGCAAAGATTTACACAACCTGTCGTTGAGAAAGTCCGCGGTCACTGATGACATTTTATTCTTTACCAGCTGGTGAAAGCCCTCTCCTCTTGCCAACTAGACCGTCCCCCCTCTGATTTATTCAAAAGTACCTAATGTGCACCCACTGTGTGCCAGGCACACACAGGGCACTGCAGACACAGGGCAAAGGCCCACTACACCACTGCCAGGGGCTCAACTCTATTCCGTGAGCCAAACACCAAGGGTGTCTCTGTGAAATACGTGCCTACAAAGAGCTTTCTAAAGCACACGTGGAGACTGCGCTCCAGGGCATCACAGAGGCTCCCCTGAGGAAGGAACATTGTGCTGAGATGAGGGGTGATGAGATGCTAAGTAAGGGGGTTCCAGGCTGCAGCCCCAAGATGCAGAGGGAAGAGGCGTGGGATGCGGCTGGGAAAGCAGCACAGACCTGACCCCTGGGCCTGTTGGCCGTGGCAGGAGCTATGGTCCCCACCAAAGGGCCCGGGGGAGGAGTCCGACCAGAGTCTGACCTGACAGGGCTCAAGCGGCTGCATGGGACTGGGTAGCTGGGAATTTAGAGCGAGGTGAGGACCCCAGTGAAGAGACCACTGCAGGAGCCCAGGCGGACACTGGCAGGACCTCAGCACCGGGGGCAGGGGTGTTGTGAGCAGCATCGGGGTCATATCAGAAGTGGAGGAAGGAGGGATGGAGGGGGAGTGACTCTCAGAGATGGCGACAGTCCCGGGCATGACCAATAGCAGGTGCTGGCACACCCTGCATCCCAGTGGAGACGTCCTGAAGGGTCAGAGCACAGAGGGAGGAGAGCAAGACGACGCCAGTCCTGTGCCCAGGAGAGCTGCTGACATTGCGAGTCCACACAGGGAAAGAGAAGTCGGCGAGAGACAGGGGTAGGCAGAGGGCAGAGAAAAAAGGAAACCAGGTGCGGGTGGCATCACTGTGGCCGATGGCACAAAATGCAGCCCGAGGAAAGGGGAGTGTCTGCAGCACGGAGCAACCAGGGTGGGCCTCAGCAGGAGCCCTCCTGGGGGAGGAGAGGGGCAAACGCTGCTGGGAGAAGGACAGAGAAGTTACAGGAGATGAAGGGCGGACAGCAGGCGAAAGATTCCACTGAGAAATCAACAGTGGAGTCAAGAGCTAGTCAATACAGAGACAGAGGGAGAATTTTTTGTTTGTTTCCTTTTCTTTTCTTTCCTTCTATATTTTTCCCCTTTCTTTCTTTTTAAGATATAAAATTCCCGATCATGAGAGGGAGAGTTGAAGAAGTAGGAGAGAAGCATAACCAATAAAAACAGGTCTCTAAAGAGTCGTCAGGGGATAGCACCCCAGCAGGGACACGTGTTATCATTACTCAGGATGTGCACTGCACAAGGCAACTAGCAAAGAAAGGCAAGTGGGAGCTAAATCCAGCCTGCACTCTGCTCACCAAGCTGTGTATCCTGGCAGCGATACGTCTCCCCACTCACCCAGGACAGACCATCTCTTTCTAATTCACACAAAAGCACCACAAGCAGGACTTCCCTGGTGGTGCAGTGGTTAAGAATCCGCCTGCCAATGCAGGGGACATGGGTCCGATCCCTGATCCGGGAAGATCCCACATGCCGTGGAGCAACTAAGCCCGTGCACCACAACTACCGAGCCTGCACTGCAAAGCCTGAGAGTCACAACTACTGAAGCCCGTGCACCTAGAGCCCATGCTCGGCAACAGGAGAAGCCACAGCAATGAGGAGCCCACAACGAAGAATAGCCCCCGCTCGCCACAACTAGAGAAAGCCTGCGCGCAGCAACAAAGACCCAACACAGCCACAAATAAATAAATTTACATTAAAAAGAACCACCACAAGCCGGCACAGCTCCAGACCTGTAGGATGAGTGAACAGATGGACCCTTGGAGTGCCGGGCACCTAACCCCTGGCTCTGTCCTCCAGTAGAGCAGACCAGGGAAAAGGGACGCTCACAGAAGTGCAAGGGGAATTATCACTGCACATGACACTTGACATGAAGCTGTTCCCTGCTGGGGACACCAGGACGCAGCTAAATCTTAGGAGTCTGAGTCCCGAAACCTCCCAAAGGCAGGAATATCTCCAGAATAAATCTAACTCGAAGACACTTTTCAAGGACTTGCAGGACGTGCTGAGATAATTATTTAAGAGCGTAAAAGTAAAGACGTCTTTCCAACACCTTTGCTTTCTCACAAGTACCAGCTTGCTCAACTAGCTGATGAACCAATAACTTGGTGACACAACCTGTTATATAACACAATTTAAACACAGAGATTAAATTTGCCCTGTTACGTTGGGTTTCAAACACTTTCCTCAGAGGAGGAAATGAGGCCAATTTTCAAGGGAAAAGTGTATTTTAGGTTGACTTTTGCTAAACCAGAGTAACTAAACACAAAAGGGATTATTAGCATATGCTATATTTCAAACAACAGGAGCAGATGTCTGGGGGTGTATGAGGACTCACCGTCCACATAAAATACCCAGCGCCTCTGGGTTCAGAATAATTTGGGCTAAATATAAAAGATGTCCATTGCAACAAGTAAACATGTAGATGTTAACCTAAACTAGGCCAAAGCCTGGAGACCAGTTCAGAAGGGACAGGCCATGTCCCTCCAAGTCCCTTCCACAGCTCTGTGCACTTGACAGTGTGAACTGATGGGTCACCATGGATGGAAACATGGGGCTCCACTGGGCAAAACCCCGCAAACCTAGCAGCTCGCTCCATGCTGCATTCACTGGGCCCTGGGCCTCTCAGCTCTCCCTGGAATGCAATGAAATAGGCCTGAGTGAGCCCTGGCGAAAGGTCACTCCATCACTTCCGCTTCAAGGTCAACCTGAGCCAGTGATGTGGCCCAAGGGCATTTTGGTTCAGGAAGGCACCAACGGTCCCTCTGAAAACAATCAATGTTCTTGTCACTTAGCTCTCACTGTGACCTGAAAGCACCCCTCCTCCCCCCAGGGTTCAAGGAATCGGGGTCCCCTGGCAACAGTCCATCTCTACGACACAGATTTTGGCCACAATACCAGTGAGACTGACAGAGGCGGGCCACGGTCCTCTTTGTGAGCAAGTTCCTGCTGGCCGGCCACCAGTCTCCACTTCTCCTGTGTGACTCTGTAATAAAAGTGTATCAAAACTCTGATGACTTTGCAAGAGGAGCCGGGGGCCTAGGGCCTGGGGCCACTGCCTCAGAGCGCTCTCATCAAACAGCTTTAACTGGATCTCCCTGCGGTTTTCAGTTAAAGTGCAAATTGGGAGGGCTGGTAATTTATGAGAAGACGGGTCCTGGGTCAGCTGAAAATTCTCTGTCTAGAGAGGCCACGATTCATTAACGTTTTGGTTTGGGGTTTTTGTTTTGTTGTTCTCCAGGGAAGGGGGGTGGTTCATATCAAAAGAAAGCCAAAAAAGTCCCTGCAGAGGGATAGGGGCTGTTAATTCCTCCAGGACATTCTTTAGGTTTGATTCACGCTCTCCCTTAGAACAATGGGAAATGAATCAAGATAATTGTTTCTTAAAAGTCTGGTGACATAAGGTAACTAGACAATGAAGCAGGTCTGTTCACCTCAGCTCTACTGCGTTTATGGTTAAGTCTGCATCTAATCAAGGACTGAGGAATGGATATTCCCACTGGTGCTGAAAGCAGCCTCAGGTCGCAGCAACTCAGAAGGTGACTCCCCCAACTTCCCTTCCAGCTGGAAGCGGGGCCTCAGTAAACACTTGTTTTCCGGCAGCCCTCCTGGCCAGCCGAGTGCCAGCTGTCACCAGCCCGTGGTGATTGATTCATTGCCTCTGCCAACAGAGGGTCAGCCGCTGGGAAACTTGTCAGCGTGGGATTAAAAACGATGACTGCAGGCTGGGGAGCAGAGGAGGAGAAATCCCCTCGATTACAAAACTAAAGGGGAGCCAGTCTGCGAAATGGAGCCACTTTCTCAGGGGTACGGGGTGCGGGAGCCCCGGAAAACAAGGTGGCAGTGATTAGTTCACAGCACGAGTGAGAGAGAAAAAACCAGCGAGAAGAAGAGCACGTGGGGAGGTGGGTGATGTTGAATGTCTCTGTGTCTCTAAACAGCAAGGTGAAATCACAGGCAGTGGACAGTTATTTTCTTCTCTTGTGAAGTCATTCAAGTGTTCTGAACAGAGGAGGTGGCTGGAGAAGTCTGAGGAAAGCAAACAGAGGAGATGCTTCCAGTCCTATCAACCCTGGGCTCTTTCCAAACATTTCATCGTATCCTAGTCAGTTTTCTCCTCTCATCCAGGAGCTTGGCTCTCAGCAATGTTTACAAAGATGATCGGCAAGATAGCCCGGAGATGGAAACAACCTAAGTGCCCATCATCGGATGAATGGATAAAGAAGATGTGGCACATATATACAATGGAATATTACTCAGCCATAAAAAGAAACGACATTGAGCTATTTGTAATGAGGTGGATAGACCTAGAGTCTGTCATACAGAGTGAAGTAAGACAGAAAGAAAAAGACAAATACCGTATGCTAACACATATATATGGAATTTAAGAA